TGAAAATGAATATCTAATATGGCACACAGGCACGAGTGCTGGGTGTGCCATGTACAAGTGAGATTAATGGTCGTGGAAAATTAGAACATAAAGCAGTAATTCTGAAAACAATCTAAGCTGTTTAAAAAATGCTTCCTCAATTTTGTGTGTGTATAGTTCAGAGCATAAACTTGCCACGATATTTGGCATTTATTTTAATATGTTCACCCTTCCAAAAGGTTTTGCTTCAACAGATTTTTGAAATCTGTACCCTAAACATTTACTTAAACATATGAGTTTCATTCTGATGCCAGTAGCAGTTTTAACAATAGTTTATGCTCTGAAAATGCAATAATCAAGTATTTTGGATCATGCTTCACTTATGCTACTTAGTTCTTAAAACAATGTAACTAATTGTAAATGTTTACATAATGCTAAACTGACATGCAAAACAGAATGAAAATTTACAATGAAGAATGTGACGAACACAGACATTTCTGACCAGTGGTCCAATGAGGCTGATTACACTTTTGACGTTGGTATCCTTAGTCCTACAAGGCCTCCAGTGGGATTGCCTTCTGCAGTCTTCTCTAACACTTGGTTAACAAATTCGGAAGTTTGCCCAGCAACTGGGAGGCCTGAAGAGAAAAATAAAAGGCATGCTTAAGACAATGAAACAGAGGGGCCACAAGGGAACAGGAAATATCTGAGGGTCAGATGTTGCCTTTAGCTTTATAATGGTCTCAAATGAGTACACTCTGCTACTTGCACTGCAGCCCAGGAAATAATTCTTTACCTATCAGGTTGGAGCCCACAGTCCTAAAATTAGAAAAGGCAAACCAAGAATAATCATGAAGAGTAGCTTATCCAACATTTTAAAGTAGAGCAGATGACAAATAATAGCTATACAAATAACAGTCCAAACCCAATCTCAATGCCTACAAACAACATTACCGTGTCTCCAACACACCCAAATCAATTGACAATATAGACCAAAAGGAAGTTTTTAATCATTTTTATAGTTCCTGGATAAAGTCTGTGTTCCTTCACTTTAAGAACAGTAAACAAATAAGTTAGAAGAGAAAAGGGAGAAAGGGTGGGAAGTCGCTAAATATACTGATTTTCTCATTTTCTATAGCTGAGACCAAAAGATGTCTAAAATTCACAACAAAGATATATTGTAAAGAAAAATAGTAACAGGTTAACAAAGAACAGAAGGCATTGCTCATAGGACGAAGTCAAAAGATACTGTACAAAAATACAGCAGCAACACCATCTTAACCAGGGATCAAATTTAGTATGACCAATGATGAGACAAACTGACATTATGTTCTTCCTGAAGTGATGAAATGGAAATGAGTTATCACCTATGAAGTACACTTGCCAAAAAACGTTTAACTGCATCTAATGGAAGGAAACAGAAAACTCCAGATGTTGGCACATTCTGTAAGATAAACTACCTGGCCTCTTCATGAAAAAAAGTAAACAAAAAAACAGCTAGGAGATCAATCTAGATTAAAGGAGACAAAAGAAACATAACTACATACAGTGCATGATCTTTCATTGGATGACACACAAATAAAAAGGCTAGAGAGGAAATTGTTGAGACAATTGGGGATACTTAAATATGGATTCCATGCTAGAAATTACAGCAGCATTAAAATACTTGGGTGTGATACTGGTATTGTGGTTATATCGGTGTTATAGACTGAATTGTGTTCCCCTAAAATACACGACGAATTCTTCCTGGCCCTTGTACCTGTGAATATGATCCTATTTGGAAATCAGGTTTTCCTTTTATTATGTTAACGAGGTCATACTAGTATAGGAGAGGTTCCTAAATTTAATCACTTCTGAGTCATAAAAGAGCAGAATAAACAGACACACACACAGAGGAAAGACAAGGAACACCATGATTGCCACAGACACAAGTAACTAAGAGAGAGGCTCACAAAAGAAACTGACGTGGTTGACACTCAGATTTGGACTTTTATCCTCCAGAACTATGAGAAAATAAATTTCTATTCTTTAAAGTCATCTATTTGTGGTACTTCTGATAAGGCAGCACTAGGTAACTAAGCCAGTAGGAGACTATTTCAAGAGATACATGCTGAAGAATTTGGGATGAAAAATCATTCTGTCTACAATTTACCTATAGAAATTCAGGGAAAAAAATATGCAGACAGAGACAGAAATAAAGCAAATGTAGCAAAATAGTTACAATTAGTAAATTTAGTTCAAGGATGTGTAGATAGTTCACTCTATTATTTCAACTTTTCTGTGGGACCGAAATCTTTAGTGAAAAGTTGAGGAAAGACTACAAGACAAAAACACAAAGCTTTCTAATTATAAGCAGAAACAAAGAAATAAAGCCATAATATGGGTCACACAGTACACAATTTAAAAAGGCGAAAGAATCCAGATAAACAAATCTTAACAGATCTTGTGACAACAGAACTAAGACCAAACATATATCATGGTATCAATAAATGAACTAATATGACTTACCAAAAAAAAACTTCCAGACTGACTCATAAAGAAAATTCAACTATATCCTACAGTCATGCATCACTTAATGTCCACGATATGTTCTGTGAAATAGGACGTTATGTGATTTGGACATTCTGCACACCCTGTATTATTAAGTAGTCCCCAGATCATGAGCGAATTCCATTCTTAAGTCTGTCTTTAAGTCAAATTTATATGTAAGTAAGAACAACAGTTAGGTATAGTTCTTATCTAATATCAGTTAGTCAAATGTTTATCTTAGTATATAGTATGTTGCTGTCTTGCTGTTAGGTGCTAATCTAGTCAGCTCTGACTCATAGCGACCCTATGTACAACAGAACGGAACACTGCCCGGTCATATGCCAACCTCACAATCCTTGCTATACTTGAGCCCATCGTTGCAGCTACTATGTCAATCCATCTTGTTGAGGGTCTTCCCCTTTTTCACTGACCCTCTACTTTACCAAGCATCATAGCCTTCTCCAGGGAATGGTTCTTTATGACATGACCAAAGTAGATGGGATAAAGTCTGGCCATTTCACTTCCAAGGAGCATTCTGGCTGTACTTCTTCCAGAACAGATTTGTTCAATTCTTCAGGCAGTCCATGATATTTTCAGTGTTCTTAGCCAACACCATAATTCAAAGCCATCAATTCTTTTTTGATTTTCCTTATTCATCATCCAGCTTTCACGTGCATATGAGGCTACTGAAAATACCATGGCTTGGATTAGGTGCACCTTAGTCTTCAAAATGGCATTTTGTTTCTTAACACTTTAAAGAAGTCTTTTGTAGCAGATTTACCCAATGAAATACGACATCTGATTTTCTGACTGCTGCTTCCATGGGTATTGATTGTGGATCCAAGCAAAATGAAACCCCTAATTCAAACTTTTCTCCATTTATCGTGATGTTGCTTGAATGGTCAAGTTGTGAGGATTTTTGGTTTTCTTTATATTGAGGTGTAATCCATACTGAAGACTATAGTCTTTGTTCTTCATCAGTAAGTGCTTCAAGTCATCTTAATTTTCAGCAAGCAAGGTTATGTCATCTGCATATAGTAGGTTGTTAATGAGTCTTCCTCCAATCCTGATGTTGCATTCTTCTTCATATAGCCCAGCTTCTCAGATTATTTGCTCAGCATACAGATTGAATAAGTATGGTGAAAAGATACAACCAAGACACACACCCTTTCTGATTTAAACAGTATTATCTTGTTCTGTTTGAACAACAGCCTCTTGGTCTATGTACAGGTTTCTCATGAGAGCACAATTACATTTATATAGTATACATTGTGCCTTTCTATGCATAAAAAACATTAAACACTTCCAGATACACTCAAACATCTTTAACATACTAATACAGTAATAGCAATGTTTTGATGTGTGTCGCAAAGAAGTGCCATGTGTTATTACAAACCATGGTATGTATCTCAAATTTTTAATATTATAGGATTTACGGGGGTTGGGACCACAGATGTATGACTGTATATGTAAAAATCTAAGGGTAGGTTAAAAAAAGAGATGCATCTAATATAAAGTGATTTGTTGTTGTTGTTGTTATGTACCGTCGAGTCGGTACATAACTCATAGTGACCCCTCCTTGGGTTTCCAAGGCAGTATCACTACGGAAGTAGATTGCCCAACCTTGCTTCCGAGGAGTGGCTGGTGGGTTTGAACCACCAGCCTTCTGGTTAGCAGTTAAGCGCCTTAGGCACTACGGTACCAGACTGAAAATAAAAAGGTAGCAAAGGACTACCAAGCAAATACAGACAATAAGAAAGCTGCTTACATTGATGATTATAATATCCGACAGGGCTAAATTCAAAGCAAAACCATTAAACAAGACAGAAGAATACCTCGTGATAATAAAGTCTATAAGCCACAATGGAGATAGCAATAATGAATCCTATTCAAACATCAAAGAATTAATACTCAAAAGTAAAATCACAGAAAATATGAGAAGAAACTGAAGCACATTAGTGGGAACCTTTCTCAGTTGTTGACAGAAAAAACAGAAAAAGAAAGAAAGGTAAAGAAGATCTAATTAATGTAATTGACAAGATTAATGGAGTCAACACGTATTAGAGCCTTAATAGAAAAGAAAATAAGTATTCTCAAATACTCATGCAATATTTAAAATTTTAATCATCTATTAGGCAGTTAAAAAATCTCAATAAATCACAAAAACAAACAATAATAAAAGTAGAAAATAATAATTCCTACCTTCTTGGAAATTCTAAATCTCTATTAAACAATTTTTGGATCAAAGAGTAAACCAAACCTAAATTTTGAAATATCCAGAAAATAATGAAAATATGATGTATTAGAACTTATGAGATATAGCTAAAGTAGTGCTCAGAAGAAATTTCAAAAGCTTTTAGTTATGCTAATGAACATGAAAGAAAAAACGAATGAAGCAACTAAAGAAATTATAAGAAATGATAAATCCAATAGTTCTTAGGGGGGAGGGGAGAAAAACCTATTAACCTATTGTATTTTCTTAAGAGGTTATAAAACAAAAAGGGGAGAACACAATAGACAAAAAATAAGATATGAAAATGAACACTAATCACTGATAAAAAGAACATTAAAAAAAAAAGACTGCTTTGCTCAGCTGTAATACATTTGAAGATATAGGTAAAGAGGATAATTTCCTATGAACATATAAAAAATAAAAACTGACTCCAGAAGAACTAGAGAAAGTTTTCAAACAGTTAATCACAAGAAGAAACTATAATTTATTTAAACTGCTCTAGAAGGGAATTCTGGGGAGATAATGGTGGCAGTATAGATTTTTAATCTCCTTGAATTACCATGTAAAACCAACAACTAGATAGCAAAACCCAAAACCCATGGAAAACACAAATGACAAGGTATCCCCAAAAACTCCAAAATTCAAGAGTGTGGGAACAAATTACCAAGAGCCATCAGACTTGCAGGGATCAACACTATAAGTATTTGTGCAGGAGGAGGCAAAAGGAAGCAATGGGCCTGAGAACAAAATAAGTCTAAAACAGCCAAAAGGTAACTGGCAAGCAGAGCAGGCCAACCTGAGAACCGCAGCTGAAACTAGAAGAGGTTCTGACCAACTCACCTGTGAGTACAAGGTAAAGGCAAGGGGCCCACAGTAAGATGTGAATGGGCTGGAGCAGTCTAGTTCCTGTGAACTTAAAAAACTGACCAGCCAGGGCTCCCCTGCAGGACAGGATCAGCACTGACTCCGGAGTTGGAATCAAAATTGAACAAAACAGGGACAAAAGATATAAAAGAAAGAAAAGGCTGAGAAATGATTTCCAGAGAGCAAGCTGCCATATTTTAAAATATTAACTAAGGAAAAAAAGAGTGGTGGTGGTCTGTGAAGTCAGAAAAGCTATCTGAACTAACCCTTCTTTTAAAAGTTCAGAAAAACTAATTTCACATAAAATAAGTGACAGAAAAGTATCAAAGTCAAAAGCCCATAAACACTTATTCTAAGGAAAAAAAGATAATAAAAACATCCCTGCAATGAATGAGGGTAAGTGATGATTCAGTGGTAGAATTCTCACCTTCCATTAAGGAAGACCTGGGTTAGACTCCTAGTCAATTTCTCATTAGTTAAGCCAAGGTAGTAATAATAATACCTCCTTCAAAGAACTGTGGAATAACCAAAAAAAAACACTCTCAGTATACTCCTGGATCACAGTACCCAACAAAAACCAAATCCACTGCCATCAAGTCAATTCCAACTCATATAGACTCTAGACAACAGTGTAGAACTGTTTGAACTGGGTTTCCAAGGCTGTTAGAACTGCCGGTTTTTTGGTTAGCAGCCCAATGCTTTATAACCACTGTGCCTCCAGGGCTCCTGGATCACAGTAAATACTCAATAAATGTTAGCTGTTTATCCCTTCCTAACACCTACGGAATCCTTTTTCCTCACTTTTATTCTCTGGGAACACAATGGTTAAGCACTGTGCCACTAACCAAAAGTTTGGCAGTTTGAGGCCACCAGCCTCTCCGCCAGAAAAAGATGTGGCAATCTGCTTCCATAAAGATCAGCCTTGGAAACCCCATGGGGCAGTTCTATTCTGTCCTGTTGGATTGCTATGAGTCAGAATCAACTCAACAGCAATGGGTTTGGTTTTTCTGATTTTGTAATTTCTTTTTAATAATGTCTCCTTTGGCCTTTAAACATGAAGAGCTGTCAAATTTCCTGAAATTGTTGGGTCAAAATTTACATGCATTGTTAATTTTATAATGATTCCAAGTTGCCCTTCAAAAATACTAACAACATTATATTCAGTATGCACCCAAGGCTGTCAAGACAAACTTATAAATAATTTCCAAGAACTTGACAGAGACACTAAGTGCATAGAAACATGCAATGTGTATCCATCTTCAATGAAAGAAAATGCATTTTGGTAGATAGGAGACGTGTTTCTGTATAAATAAACTATGCTTCCCTACTTGACTTCACCTAAGAATCTTGATTTCTTCATAGCACTTGTCACAATTTATTATTTTTGTTTTCCTGTGTATTTTTTGTTTTCCATTTTTAGATTATAAATTTACAAAAGTAGGGACCAAATCTCTGTTATTCATCCCTCTATCCTCAACACCAGGAGCTCTGATGGCGTAGTGCCTAAGGCATTTGACTGCTAACCACCAGTCACTCCTCAGGAGGAAGACTGGGCAATCTACTTCCATAGAGATACCGCCTCGGAAACCCAAGGAGGGGTTGCTATGAATCTAATCGACTCGATACAGTGAGTTTGGTTTTTGGTTGGTATCCTCAACACCTGGCACATGGTAAGCTTGAAAAATATTTTGTGGAACTAATGACTTTGCAGTAAATGGGTGTCAGAAATCATGTCTTAACAGAAATATATGTATATATTTAATTCCTAAGATATTTACAATTAAAAAAGAGAAATATAAAACAAGGTAATGTAAGTTGAAGTTTCTATTATGCTAAAAATTATATAATATCTAAAAATAAACAACTAGTTAATGATTAAAAAGTAGGCTCTACTTATAATTCTTTTAAGTCACTTGCCTTTGATATTCAATGAGCATCCTGGGAAAAAAATGAACTAGAAGAAAATTTGGGGGTAACTGAAATTCACCACTTTATACAACATTAGAACCAGTTTTAAAAAGACAGTTCTACAATAAATACTGCTAAACAAAGAACATATAGCTGAACCAATTTTATGATGATTCAGAATTTTCATGGATAGCATTATTCTATAATGCTTTTGGGATGCTGCTAATCTGTCAGTTGATTTGCCAAGCTATGGGGCCTCTGGCGGTCTCATATCTATCTATGCCTACAAAAGCTATTTCCACCCTCCTCTTCAGCTATCACTTTGTCTTGCTTCAGGATGCCTGCTTCTCTGATCCTCCCTATGTTGTGAAATTTGTTCAATGATAGGAAACCAGATAACTAAACTTGTTAGAATCCTGTGAAATGTATTAGCAAGTTAAACAAATAGGTAAGAACCTCCACTAGGTGTAAACTGCATGTTTGACAGCTCAGGGACCTTATGATTCTCCATGGAAAATTAAAGTTGCTTTAAGTTTATCTTTTTCAAGTGTTAAAATAATTTGATAAGAAATCTAAATAACACATTGTGGTAACAAATATGTATTTATGAATACTAAATTCCAAAATACAAAAGACTTAAAAAACAAGGAAGAACTACAATGAGAGCACCTGAGTATTCACTAACTAAAAGAACCTTTAATATTCCCTTGAATCATCTATCTTACACTACATGTTATCATTTGTTATTAATTTATCCTACATTCTTCTTACCAAGAGTATCTTTAATGAGGATTTCAAGCTTCTGCCCCATGTTGGGTCCTCTCTCCTCTCTTGGATTCTGTACTCGGTTTACAATTTCTTGCTTGATGGAGTTGATTACAAACAACAAATTATCTGCAAAATAAAACAAGACAATTGGAACATGTCACTAACATGGAAGAAATTGGCTTTAATTATGTAATGAGAGAGATAAAACTGTTGAAAAACAGAGAATGTGTCAGAAAACATTAAGGAATGATGGCTGTAATCTTCATATCCAGAAACTACTTTCCAATGATGTGCATGATAACATCTTGTAGACGTGCATCAATGTCTACTATACTGTAAGTACGTTGGCATATTTATCCTCACAGTTTTAAGACTTATGATGGTGCCTAGCATACCAAACTGTAGGAGCTCAGAAAATGTTTATTAAATATATAAAACCATGTCCTTCAAAGGCAAAAGCTTAAAAAGAAATTCCCCACCTTAAGAAGCTAAAAAGGGGGGTGGGGGTAGAGACCAAAGTTAACCAACAGTAAATAAACCTACTGCCATCAAGTTGATTCCAACTCATAGCAACCCTATAGGACAGAGTAGAACTGTCCCATAGAGTTTCCAAGACCATAAGTCTTTACGGAAGCAGACTGCTTCATCTTTCTCCCATCGAAACACCAACTTTTTGATTAGCAGGCAACTACTTTAACCACTGCGCCATCAGAGCTCCTTAACAGTAAATAGAAGGGGGAAAATAATAAAGAGCAGAAATCAGTGATACAGAAAACAAACACACAACAGAAAAAAAATCTGAAAAAATCTAAGCCAAAATCTGGTTCTTTGAAAAGACTGACAAAGTGACAAACTTCTAGCTAGAATGATTATAAAAAAGTAGTGGTGATGGTAATCATCTATATCTGGAATGAAAAAGGGGTTATCACTTAAGAATCTATAAATATGAAAAGGTAGTAAAAAAAAATATTATGCTACTATGCCAAAATATTAACAACTAGATGAAATGGACAAATTTCTTGACAATGCAACTCAACAAAACTGACAAAAGAAGAAATGGAAAATCTCAAGCTTACTTCTAATAAAGGAACCCAATTTATAAAAAATCTTCCCAAAAGAAAAAAACACAAATAGTTTCACTAGAAAATTCTATCAAATACTACAAATATGATCAATATTATCAAACTGTTTCAAAAAGAGCAAGACGGACTATGGCTCCACTTGTTCTGAGGCCTACAGTCCTAATACAAACACATTACAAAAAGAGAAAATCACAGACCAAAAACTATCTTGAATATAGACAGAAAAATGGTTAACAAAATTTAAGGAACAAAATCCAATTTAAAATAGAATAAATTCCAATAAAATATTAGCAATACCTTCCAATATAAAAAGGAAAATATATCCTAAACAAGTAGTATTTATACCCTAGGAATGTACACTTGTTGAATATTTTTTAAAAAATCCAAGTAATTTAATATTAACAGGTGACTATGTACTATATGAACAGAATAAAAAATGATTGTCTGAATAGATAAAAAGAAAGAAGAGGCATTGGTCAATATTCAACTGCCACTTCTAACAAAAATAGGCCCCTAGGTAGTGCAAATGGTTTAAACTCAACTACTAACCAAAAGGATGGCAGTTCAAACACAACCTGTGGTGTTGGGGAAAAAAAGGCCTGGCAATTTGCTTCCATAAAGATTATAGCAAAAACAAAACATAACAAAACAAAACCCTATAGAGCAGTTTCACTCTGTAACATATGGGGTCACCATGAGTCAGAAGTGATTTGACAGCAACAAGCTTTTGCCAGCTCTGATAAAACTCAAGGAGTCTTGGTGGCACAGTGGTTAAGCACCTGGTTGCTAACTAAGAGTCAGCAGTTTGAATCCACCAGCCCCTCTGTAGGATAAAGATGTGGCAGTCTGCTTCTGTAAAGACAGCCTTTGGAAACCTCATGGAGCAGTTCTACTCTGTCTTATAGGGTTATTATGAGACAGAATCAACTTGATGGCAACAGGTTTTTTTGTTTTTTTATTAAAAATATTCAACAAACTAGCACTAGAAAATAATTTCCTCAAAACGATAAAGGGCATCTATAAAAAAGACCTACAGCCAACATCATCATACTTAAAGGTAAAAGGAAGAACTGTTCTCATGAGCAAGGCCATCAACACTTCTATTCAATATTGTACTACATGCCCTCTCACTCACTCCTTGGGTTTCTGAGGTGGTATCACTAGGAAAGTAGATTGCCCAATCTTCCTTTCGAGGAGTGGCTGGTAGGTTTGAACCACCAGCCTTCAGGTTAGCAGTCAAATGCCTTAGGCACTACACCACCAGAACTCCTCTAAATGCCCTCAAACTAAACGCACTGCCATCGAGTCAGATCTAACTCATAACAACCCCTCCTTGGGGCTGAGATACCGAGATACCGAGGCGGTATCACTACAGTATTAGATTGCCCAACCTTCCTTCTGAGCAGTGGCTGGTGGATTGGAACCACCAGCCTTCTGGTTAACAGTCAAATGCCTTAGGCACTATGCCATCAGAGCTCCTCTAGATGCCCTAGCCATTACAGTAAGGCGAGAAAAGAAACAAAAGGCATAAAGATTGGAAGGAAAGAAGTAAAATCATACCTCTTTGCAAATGGTAACTTTAAGCAGAAAACCTCAGATCATCTACAAAACTACTACCACACTAATAAATCAATTTAGCAAGGTCACAATATGTAAGAATAATACACAAAAATCCACTTTATATACTAAGGACTTCCAGTGGCACAGTGACTAAGGCATTTGACAATTCCCAAATAAAATTTTAAAAACAATTTCATTTAAACTGTATGAAAAGATAACGAAATACTTAGGAATAAATCTAACAAAAGATGTACAAGCTCTCTACTGTTAAAACTTCAAACATGGCAGAGACAAATTAAAGACATTTTAATTAGGTAGCGATACAGGTTCATAGACTAGACGACTCAACACTGTTAAGATGGAAATTCTCTCCAAATTGATCTTTCAGCAGGCTTTTCTGCAAAAATTGATACGCCGATTTTAAGATTTATATGGACATGCAAAAGACTGAGACTAGGCAAAACAACTGAGAAAAAGAATAAATTTGAAAGATGAACACTATCTTACTTCAAGATTTACTATAAAACTACAGCAATATAGACAGTTTTGCATTCACATAAAGGTAGGCAAATAGATCAATGGAAGAGAATATAGAGTCCAGAAAGTGACCCATACAAATTTAGTCAATTGATCTGACAAAGGTGCAAAAATAATTGAAGTCTATTCCACAAACGGTGCTTGATCTATTGGGTTATCTGCATAGGAAAAAAAAATTATCTCTTATTTCATACCATATACAAAAATGAACCTAAAATCGATCATAAACTTAAATGTAAACCCTGAAACTATAAAAATTCTGTAAGAAAAAATTTGCAACTTTGGAGTTGACAAAGGTTTGTTAGAACACAAAAAAGCTTTGTTCTATATGGAACATAAAAAAGTTAGATAAATTGGACCTCACTAAAACATTTTTAAACTTTTGCTCTGTAAAAGAAATCAATGAGGAAATAAAAAAGTAAGCCAAAGACAAGGATAAAATATTTGCAACACATATACTGAACAAAGAACTTGTATCCAGAATATATTAAGAACTGGGACAACTCAGTAAGAAGAAAAACTGATATTTAAAAAAAAAAAAAGGAGGGAGGGGCAATATATTTGAACACACACTTCACAAAAGAAACTATATGACTAGCCAATAAGCACTAGGAAACATGCTCAATATCATTAATCAGAAAAATGCAAATCAAGGCTACCACACACCCATTGCTGTTGTTGTTAGGTCTCACTGAGTCAACTCCGACTCACAGTGACCCTATGTACAAATAGAATGAAACATGCCTGGTCCTGTGCCAGCCTCACAATCCTTGCTATACCTGAATCTACTGCTGCAGCCACTGTGTCAATCCATCTCGTTGAGGGCCTTCCCCTCCCCTCATTGACCCTCCACTTTACCAAGCATGATATCATTCCAGGGAATGGTCTCCTTTGACAACACGACCAAAGTAGGTGAGACGAAGTCTGGTCATTCTAGGCTCCAAGGAGCATTCTGGTTGCACTTCTTCCAGGACAGATTTCTTAGTTCTTCTGGCAGTCCACGGTACTTTCAGTATTCTTTGCGAACACCACAACTCAAAAGCATCAACTCTTCTTCGGTCTTCCTTATTCATTGCCCAGTTTTCATGTGCCTATGAGGTGATTGAAAATACCACAGCTTGCGTCAGGTGCACTTTAATCGTCAAAGACACATCTTTGCTTTTCACCACTTTAAAGAGGTCTTTTGTAGCAGATTTGCCCAGTGCAATACGTCGTCTGATTTCTTGACGGCTGCTTCCATGGGTGTTGATTGTGGACCCATTGTAATATGAAATCTCTGACAACATCAATCTTTTCTCCATTTATCATGATGCTGCTTATTGGTCCGGTTGTGAAGATTTTTGTTTTCTTTATGTTGAGATGTATCCATACTGCAGACTGTAGTCTTCAATTTTCATCAGTAAGCGTTTCAAGTCATCTTCACTTTCGGCAAGCAAGGTTGTGTTGTCTATGTATCACAGGTTGTTAATGAGTCTTCCTCCAGTACTGATGCCACGTTCTTCTTCATATAGTCCAGCTTCTCGGACTATTTGCTCAGCATACAGATTGAGTAAGTATGGTGAAAGGATACAACCCTGACACATTCTCTTCCTGATTTTAAACCATGCAGTACTCCCTTGTTCTGTTCAAACAACAGCCTCTTCGTCTATGTACAGTTTCCTCATGAGCACAATTAAGTGTTCTGGAATTCCCATTCTTCTCAATGTTATCCAAAATTTGTTATGATCCACACACAATTGAATGCTTTTGCATAGTCAATGAAACACAAGTAAACATCTTTCTGGCATTCTTTGCTTTCAGCCAAGATCCATCTGACATCAGCAATGACATCCCTCATTCATGTCCTCTTCTGAATCCACCTTGCTTTTCTGGAAGTTCTCTGTCAATATACTGCTGCAACCTTTTTTTTAATTATCCTCAGCGAGATTTTACGTGCATGTGATATTA